GGGATACAGCCACAGTATTCAACGCGGAATTAGATTATTAATATGACCTCTAGACTTAGACTTTACAATCATTATTACCGCACTTGGTATTGTGAAAGAAATTCTATATCATAGATGTGTGTATAGTTATATACATATAATTGATACACCTTCGCTCAGTCCGATCGAGAAGCATGCGATGAATTGAAACGAGATATCCGCAACAATGGAAAAGATTCTATCAGGGAATCTTTCTTTCGTAAGAAGAAGAAAAGATCTGCCCGATAGACCTCTACGACATTGGATGTCGATCGATCGCGTCTTTCCCCTCTCAAAGGATCGGGACTCTGTGTGGGGCTGTTCCTAGTACCTGATTATCCTATCCTTGCGGCCACGGAAGGACGGTTCTGCTAAAAAAAAAATGCAAGTCGATTTGCCGTTAATTTGCTTTTACTTTGCTGTTTTCTCTCGCAAGCGCCGGCGAATTTCTCTGTCCAGTGTCTACACTCGATAATAGAGTAATATACATACACGGTGTTCTTTTTTATTGTTGCATATTACCTTGACTACCTAGTACTTAAGGATAATCTCTTCTAGTGCTCAGTAGTAACGTCGCATGTAAGTTTCGCACGGACAGAAAAGAAAGAATAACGAGACTACATTCTCCTGTTTTTTCCACGCAATGAATACATTTACGCCTGTCAAAGTGCAACGAAAGGGGTGCTGCCCATCTCGAAAGAGCGATTGAAACAGTTTCGTACATGTACACTTCTTTATATAACTCCTTAACTCTTTAAAACGCAAAGAGTGTATGATAAGCGGATTAGCTGTGTATAAGATGTCCCAGAACGGTTCTCGATTTTCTTTGAACAAAAGCGAAATTGTAATTTCAACTGTTTCAATTCTTTCAGACAATTAAAATTACAAACGTGTATATATATGTATGAAGAAAATCACTTAAAACTAAATGTTCAAGCTACAAGTTTTTCTTACGAAAAGTGATCCCAAATTGGATAATTCCTTGAAAAAAAGAAAAAAAGCTTTGTTAAAATGGGAATATCCTATGCGCAGTTAAATCGACCGTCATACCGTTTTAGATCAACATAACAATTGCACTGTAAATCCCATCATCATCTAAGGCTGAATGTACATCCTCGATAATTGTATTTTATAGCCTCGGCAATTTTTCGTGTCATTACGAATCGTTTTCTCGCCGAAACTCATTATTGTAATCGAGCCGGACAACACTTAACATTTTATAAAACGTCAAGTATTCAATTCGAAATAACGTGGATTCATCTATTCGGACGGCAGACCGTTGACGAGGAGCAAAAAGTATAATTAAGGTTCAATCGCTTGTTACAACGTGTTTAACGCGAACACTATATACTGCTTCCTGCCGCCGAGCTTCTTCCGTTAATTAACTGTCCGAGTCGCGTGCGGTCGCGACACAGTTATACATACATGCACGCGCATAAATCACACACACACAGTTCATATCCGGGATTGAAACCGGTAGAACCTCGTTGGTTTCAGGATTCCCATATGCTATAGATGCGCGTAAATGATCTCCGTGGGTGTAATGTGACAATGATGTAAGTCAATTTTTTGAGAATACTTAATGTAAAGCCTCTCTCTCTAGCTAATTTTAGGATCGTAAGTAATTTATAGTAATATTACAAATCGTAGAAATATTAATAAGGAATAATAATATTAGCGAAGTAAAATAGGCTGTTATATAGAGTGAAAGTTATGTTTCTGTAAAGAGACAATCTAAAACTATATAATTACGCCCGATATAATTGCGTAAGGAAATTGTAATGAGATTATTTTTTTTCTTTGTTTAATTTCTAACGGCTTGTGCGTCGAGCTTGTGTCTATAGCATCAAGAATTAAGAACATTGAAATTATACCGGCTTCAATTCTCGATCCATATTGCGCTCGTTGTCTTGGTTCTCTGTGCGCTACGTGACATTTCATTCGAAATAAATCTTGACGAAGTACCGAGCACCGTTGCGAGTCTTCTTATGACAAAGTCTATCCTTCATTTCGATGTCGATTACTTACATCTTTTTGATAATTCCTTTCTTTTTTATTTTTTAAGGACCGGTAACACCTATTCATTTGGAGTTATTTTATAATTATCCTTCGCATTTTTCTGTCATTTCTTATCCAGAGTACAGTGAGTTCTTTTACGTTAGTCGGTCACGTGCGACGATTATAAATCCGCAAAATTCTCTCACCTGTAATGCGAACGATATGATTTTGTAAACAAAAGCGAGGTAAGTAAGAGCTAATAATTAGCACTCGTACTAGACAGTAATTCAAATTATTTAACGAGTTTGCAATCATCTTTAAAAATCAATTCTGAAATTTTATTTCTTTACATTACGATTATAGGGCCTCAAACATCTGTTTTCACTTGTGCGTTATTAGCTCTGGTTAGCTCTATCGTTATCTGTGAAAAGAACGCGGAAGGCGGTCATCTCCGATCCGGCATTCCAACGTTCTCTCCAGTTCGGGCGCTATCGAGGAGATAACGATCTCGCGTTACAAATGATCGAGGATGTCCCGAAGGAGCGATTCGGATCGGCGAATACGGGACACGCTCCGTGTCCTATTCGCTCGCGTCCCCGTTGAGCACTCCCCCGAGTGAGCCGTAAAAGCGTAGGTACCTCGGCGCGGAGCCGCGCAAATAAAACCGTATCGTATCCCGCGTACGGCACACCGGGTATACGCGGCGATCCGGCTTAAGTGATTGCTTCTCTTCATTAGAGCTCCGAGGCTCGCCGCCTCTCTCCCTCTCGCGAAGTCGAAGTTGAGGGACAGGTGTGGTAATGGCCCGTATCCGAGCTCTCCGCTTAACCCACCCCTACGACCGTCAGTCGATTTAGCTTGCTACCACCCCCTTTCCCGCCGCCGAGCCATCCTCTTCCCCCCCCCCCCCCCCTTGGAACTATTACGCGAATTGATTCCGCATCGGATCTGCCCGGAGGGGCGGAAACTCGCGTTTAGCTCCTCGTTTCCTCCACTTTTCTCGCTCCCGCTCTCTTTCTCTCCTACTTTATCGCTCTCTTCTCTTTTCTTATCGCCGGCGCGTGACCACCCTCGGTCCATTTGCGTGCATCTCACCCCCGTCGTAAAGGCTGCATTCCCTGGATTATCGGGGCTTCCGTCGGGGCACGAACGACGTTCGTGGTATCGAGAAGGATACGCGGATGATCGTGCGCAAATCGATTAATTCGCTGAGAACAGTTGCAAGTTCTTTTAGCATAAGCGGATGCTGCGTTCAGGATCGGACCTTCGACCGTATCACAGAACATTTAACTGGAAAGAACGATTATGTAGGATCTGTTTTACATAACGAGAAATAAAACAAATTCATTAGTTGTTAAATAAATTGGAGACACAAATCAGACTTTGATTACCTAGGATAGAAAATAACTCCAGTCTTTGTAATACGTCATTAAAGATGGATCTACTATAAAAATTACTTTCTTAATCCACGTGGTATTCTTCGAATAAAAGTTTCACTGTATCCAGACAGTATACTTAATTTCTTTAGATAGAATAACATCATAAACAGTCGATATGCGACCAGTTACGGCCTGTTTAATTTACCGTGTTTCGAGATGTTGGAGAAGAAAGATCAACTGGCGGCGATCGAGCTGGTAATTCCTCTCGCGAGATAAACAGCATCCAGCAGCAGGTCTCTACGATATCGCGATTTACGGGTAGTTGGGTTCGGTGTATACACCGCGCCACGCGCGTTGCATTAAATAATAATGCCAGTGATTGCTGTTGGGTATCCACCGAGGCAAACTGCAAGCTACAAGAACGGCGAGGAGGGTATGGGTAAGGGGGAAAACGGAGAAGACGCTGCTGCCTTTACACCCCCGCCAGATATATCATCGCCTGGCAGTTATGTGTGTCATGAATTTTAGATTATCCTTGGATTAGATTAAGGCACGCGGGGCGGCCGGAAGGAGCAAGCGGCCCCTTGGCCCGCCAGTCAGTGCGCGGGGCTGAATTATTTCCAAATCTCGCGCAGCATCCGTCCCGCCCCATCCCCTCGATCGCACCGCCGGAATTGCAGGATTGATCTGTTGCCGCGAATTTTTCGCCGATGATCCGACCGGGCGTTAGCGAATTTCCAACGATAGTCCTCGAGCTGAACGATAAAATGATTTAACGTCAAGAGATATGCAATCAAATGCTATTCGAAGGGAATTTCAGACGTCGTAAAAAAATATTTATCAAAGACAAGAGATAATTCGTGTTTTAAGTAAGTTAATTACTGTATTAAAAGTTTTTGGTTTCAGTTAGAAGTATAGAGATATGTCAAGTCTATCTTGATCTTTTAGGGACATACATTTTTTAAATAATCTTATTACTTACTTTTTTTTAAATAATATTACTGCTGTTATTTTTACGTCTCCGATCTTATGCAACGTCTTCAAGAAATCTCGACAAGTCGTCTCTCTCCCCGCGCACTTCTCGATTATTCCCCGTTTCATCCCCTCTGAAGAGACAAGGGGGCGGAGATAATTGATGATGGTAGCTGGTTTTCGTGGGACATTATATCGCAGTTACGAGTTTCCGTTCCCCACTCGCGCGCTACGAATGCGCAATGTGCGAACAACAGGATCTCTCGCTATAGTGGGGAGAATACCCCGAGGGTGGTTCCCACCTCTCGCTGGCCCCACGTGACCCCGGCCAGACAAACGACGGCCAATTTACGAGCAATAGGAAAAACTTCTTAAAACTCGGATTAAAATGAGCGAGGGGGGAGAGAGAGAGAGAGAGAGAGAGGAACATCCCTCGGCGCCCTCCGAATTATCCCGGGGATACGAGAGGGTTTTATTTTATTTCAGAAAGCGTCACCGGGGGTGGAAGGGCGAATACGACCCTTGGCCCTGGCCTTGCGCTTTTATTATTATCTTCCTATCTGTGAATGAGGTGGAGCATCATTATTTTCACTGTTAATTTGCGTAGCTGCTGCAAATTATTGTAACTTCTACTATTTCCGTTTATTGCTATCCTCGCAAAGTCAGTGATTGTCGATGATAACGATAAGACCCTTTATATTGCTCCGTTTGAAAACCTAAAAAGATCAAATATATTTAAATAAATAAAGAAAAACTATTAAAATTATACGTCTTCTGGTAGAAGTATCTTCGATAACTAACACTTAATTAAAATATAAAGGGAGATATATTCAGCGCTACACAACGCGTTCTTTCTATAACGTCACAAGAACTCTCGGTGATTCTTTACGAGAACTGACAGGGAAAATAGAACACATTTTCGCGTCCATTACTCCTCCGGGACGGAGTAATAGATGACAATTTGATCGCAAATCGCTAAATGAATTACACGGGCGGCTGAACACGGGTCTATCGATTTTTTTACATAAACAAATCGCCCCAATCGATTTAGCTTTTCAACGATGAGATTTGCAACACAAGTGGATTCAATTTCAATACGTAATGTAGCAGATAATTAATTATATTTAAAATATCTTTATAACACTGAATTAATTCTAATCCAATGAAAATCTGCTAATCTATATATTCGAAAGCTTTATCGTGAAAAAGAGATGTTGGTTTATGAGACCGTAAGTCACCGTTGCAGAATCAATCCTGCGGTCGTAAAAGGACCGAATTATGGGCTTTCCTATTTTATATACAACGCCCATAAAAAGTTCAACCGTATATGGGTCGTATATACGTTGAAGCGGTTACTGTGCGCCGGCGTTCTTTTTAATTAAAGTCGCTAATCAAATCACGGTCACGCGACGTTGCTTCGACCTATCGACGCACGCGGATGAGACGATAACGACGCCCCGGGGATGGTCGGAATAAATCCGTGTTAACGCGATTACAACCCTCCTCCGAGATGCATGATTGATTTATCTGCGAGAATGCACTGGAAGACGTTTCATCGCGATTTGATATAGCGGTAAGTTTCCGCAACACGTCCTCGACAAACACTAATATATCCTCGTGCTATATGTAACAGCAATATTTAACATCCAGAACATCTCACCCTTCTCTCAGCGAATTTTCCGTATTCGAGAAGTATCGTAAAAGTCCTTAATTTCTCCCGCTAATGAATAGATGAGAAACAAGAATCGCGCCCCACGATTTACGCGGAGATAAGTCGGACGAATTACCGGGCTGGAGGAACGCGCGACTTTCGGAGCACCTCGTCCTCCCTTCTGAGGGCAAGGGGTTCCGGGACAATAACGGCGCCCCGGGGACGACCGGGGTAACGCGATTACGCGGCGTGGCACTGCACGGCACGGCACAGCCACCGCTCGAGCGGTTCGCCCCGGCTTGATTTATCCGCGTAGCCGCGCGTTATTGCATTAGCGCCCCGACGGCGATGCTGTCCGCCGTCCCCCGCTCGCTCGCTCGCCGGCGACGAACGCGAGAAATCGTCCGGCGTCCGTCCACCCGCCCGTGAATCATCTACGAGAGTTATGTCTTCCAAGCCGCTGCCAAGACACGGCGATCTATAATTCCCGCCAGCGGTTGGTCAGCGATCCTGGCGCGTCTTGGAGTTTCCCCATATTCCCTCGTGGACTAATATCGCCGGTAAGAACTGTTGCGACCGAAATCTACTCTTGGTAACGACGCACGGTTCCTTTTACGATGATCAGTGATCTTGGCATTTCCCGAATTTCACCGTGGACTGATACCGCCCGTGGAAATTGCTTTTGCGACTTAAATCTATTCTTAGAGACGCGATTTAAGATCCTTTTTATACAGCTGGTCAGTGATTTCGATGCGTCTCGTTTTTCAAACTTTCTGGTCGGCGTCGACAATAGTTTCGTTCGTCAAGAAAACGTATTTTAGAAAATGTTTTACGATTTTCTTTGTTCTTAACTCATCAAAATATTGAACGCACCTTGACACATCCTGTGTTTCCACGTTGACAAGTATCACTTGGACAAACTTTCTGTTTAAATGTGCCTTCGCACGTGTGAGCATATACACAGAGCTATGTTAACTTCCGCTCCGAACGAACGCCCGCTAACATGAGATGAGAACTGGTTCAAGAATTGGTGACTATAAACTTTACATTAATGTATCGCACCTTCCTAAGACATCGGTGCTGATTAAACTTCGCGGTTTTACATCACAGTTCTTCGACACAGAGTACGCTAATCGACATACAAGCGAGATTCCCGATTCAGTATACATTATGTATGTTACATGCTTCCCGTCGCACATATCCTTTACTTTATACACATTGAATGTCCTTTGTACTTCTCAGACTCTTCGGCACGTCGCGGATGAAGAGATGCGCGTGTGCCGCTTGTAATACTCTATACGCGAGCGAGTTCCTGCACAAAACAACAACGACGTGCGCTTTATAACTTTAACCGTGTATAACAAACAACTGCGACGTTTTCAATACCAAAATAATACAAAGGGAAAAAAAAATACAATTAAAATTTCTTGAATTTGGATTAAAGTTTTCACTCAGAAAAGATATAGATCTATATTTGTGCCCGTTTGTAGAGTTTTAACGAGCGCCGACAACGATTCACTTTGACGTAAAATAAGCACCTTCCTTACTGATATTCGAAAATTGAAGTCACCGCGATCACAATATCGGTCCACTGTCCTTCCTTCGCGTCGCTCAAAGTCACATTTCGATGAGAGTACAGATCCTCTCTAAACTCGGGTGTACTCACCGTCAAGACAACCCGCACCTCTTCATCCCCGTCGAATCCCTCTTCGTCCAAGACGTACCACGCCGCGGACCTTACGCGGGCCTGTCGAGCCCTAAGGCCTCCTGGTGCCGTCTCGCCTTCAGTCTAAGGTCTGCGATGCTGCTGTTCTTCGAGCGAGCCGCCGCGGCGGCCAGTGACGCCGCCAGGCTCAGCGGATGAGGAGGATGACCGGCCGACGACGTCGGGGGCGGCGGTGGTGGCGGCAGACAGAAAAGGCCTCCGGCCGCCGCATAGTGCAGCACTGCCGGGTCGAAGGCTGATCCCACTGTGACGTTTGCGGCCGTTCCCTGCATCGGCGGATGCAACCTGAGGGCTGGCAGGTAAGGTGCAACTCGACATGGTTCCAACGTCGTCGGCGGGCTGCGCGGCGCCAGCACCATGCTCCCGGCGACGCCTGTGAGAAAATTTAATTAGAGCCAAATATATTAATTATAAATATATTAATTATAACAAGAAAGAAAAAGAAGGAGTCCTATCAATTTTTTAATCAGGCAACAAATGCGAAATTATCTCACAATTATCAACGTTGATTGAAATTATAGTCGTTTTTTCTTGTACCATACTTGACATTACTTGATTAATTATCATACGTTACCATACGTCATCTTGTTTAATTAGAAAAGATTGATATTTAGACTAAAAAGAAAATGAAAGCTATGTCCGCTGTGGAGTGCCGTTAGCGGCGTGTTACCTTTGTGCAACTGGCTCTCGTGTTTACGACACTTGGCGCGTCGATTCTGGAACCAGACTTGTACCCGCGCCTCGCTGAGACCTAGCCGCTGGCTCAGCTCCTCCCTCATAAACGCGTCGGGATAGTGCGTCTCGTCGAAGAGCCTCTCGAGCTCGGCCAGTTGCTCAATGGTGAAGTTCGTCCGCGATCTCCTCTGCTTGCCGTTGCCACTTCCGTTGTTCCGGCAATTGGATCCTACAAATTAATTATTGCTCAAGTAAATTCTTGCGTAAAATTGTTAAAAGATAATTGTACGCTATATTTATAGGATAGAGTGCTTTTTCGATTACGTTGCAAAATTATATATCATTACAGCGTAAAAGGATGAGTTTTCCTCTCGTTGTTAAGGAATGCTTTCGGCGAAACAGAAATCCGAATGCCGTGAGTCATCGTCGGAGATGTGTAGCGGGTAACAGGGAAGGTTTTCGTCGCACGATGATTAATTCACAGGGACAAATGCGCGCCGCGAGCCAGAACGACCGGGGCCGGAGCGACCAGTGTGCTACCGAATTGATCTTTGCGAATCGTTCACGGGCCATTTCTTCCAGTCTGGGCGCCATCAACATATATCTCGCCACCTTATGAGAATCTTATTCAAATCGAGATGCCGGTCGGCGTCTCTAATTGGATGACATTAGGACAAAGCGTATTCCACGCGAGGGAAACGCGACAGTTATTTCTTCCCACACGCCGAAGAACTATAAAAGTAAGCACGGAATCCGAGAACCGCGTAACGCGGCGCGGTGTATATCAACCGCTGTGTTAAACTTGTGCGCCAGATTGCGGGGTCGCATCAAGAGCGCATCTTCACGCGGAAGATTTCATCGGACAGATGCAGAAAGGCGAAGGAGGAGGGTGATTAAGGTGAGAGGGTACGAGCTCGCCCTCCCCCTTCCCTCCCCCCGTCTAGCGGAGAGAGTAGGGATGACTAACGACCTGGTATAAGACTGCGTAGCTCACCACTTTGCTAAATTATATAAATCACATCCCCTTCGTCAAGGGCTCTTACGCGAGACACTTAATCCACCTTTGTCCCTCCCTCTCTTCCTCGCGATGCGCCCCCTTCTAAGTTTTCCTCGCCTCCTTCTCGTCGGCAACACCTCGAAGAGCCGTAGTACCGTAGTTACTTTACATTAAGCGACCATTAATTAAATCGTATGGCCGTTAATTATCCGAGCGTCTCTCTAACTCGCGGCGATGCTTGCGGCCGCTCTATACGACGCGCCAAGAAAGTTTTTCGCTTCGGAGCATCTTTTCATCCATCCTTCAGGATAATTATCCTTCCCCTAATCGAGATCTTTACATGCGCTTTACATGCTTTTGTAACATTAACGATTGTTTAAAATAAAACTGAGAATTATGAACTGAGCCAAAAGTCCGGATTTAATTTATTAACAATAAAAAATTCGTGAAACAAGAAGTAATCTGTAACTTTCTTTCAGAATAGTTATTCTATTTCTTGCTAGTTTTTACATTATCAATCATTTCTATAGAATTAAGAACGTCTTAAGAATCAGATTATTATGTTTGGATTTCATTCGCTAATTCGCGGGAAAATGTATTAAACGCAAATGAGAGTCGAGAAACTGGTAAATTGCGTTTTTATCGGAATATTCTGCGGTGTCGCTTTCCACGGATAATAGAACGGCCGTGCGATTTATCTGGAAACGAAGGCAAAAAACGAGAGACGCGCTCCGCAGTCCACGTCCGTTTGCACGCCGGCGCGATCGCCATGCGGCATTGCGTACGGCGTACGGCGCTTTAATCAATTAGCGCATATCCGCGTAATCCAATCTGAGCCCTAGGCAGGGTGTGCGGCCCGCATCCATATGTACAGCGGTGGTTTAAAACCACCTCCCTCCCGTACGCCAAAATAACTCGCGCGGTTTTCGACGCCCCTCGTCCGCGCATTGTTAGCATAAGCCACGGCGCAACACACACGCGCGTTGTCGCAGTCATTAACTCGAACGTGCCGGCCGTTTATTACCGTGTGTACCGTAGAAACCGGGAGAGGGGGAGAGGGGGCGAAAATCGGCATCGTTTGAATTCATAGGTATCCTTCTCATTTTTCATAAGCATTATCTTTCTAAAAAGAGAACAGTAAATTAGTACGATTACGTGTTACAATAATTATTCTTACAATTTAGTTTCGTACACCTAATTGTTGTAATTTAGTAAATTATAACTTATGCATAATAGTTTTGGCGAGCCTTCCTGCACATCTCCTAATAAAATTGAATAAAGAAAGAATGACGATTATCGCAGCACTAAAGTGCTGATCGTTGACGTTAACTTCGGCAATCGAAATTCTGAGAATCCATAGGTATCTTCCAAGTCCCATAACACGTTTCTCCAAATCTACTTGGCCAAACTACCTGAGTATATCCCGAGCGTCTCGATCCGAGGTGCAAAATCGTAGTTGCTGAACGTTATCCGATACCTCGTAGAGAGATCGAGACGGCGAGAGGGATCGTCCTGCGGGACGAAGAGGGGAACAGATAACCGAACTCTGCTACTGGAAAACCCAAAGCAATCACACTCGGACGCGAGGGGTCACTAATTCAATTACTAAGAGCGCTGCCCTCTTGGCCTGATCCAGTTAAGCCACCCCCGAAGAGCTACCCCCCCCCCCCGGACCGACCGCCACCTTGGCTGTACTATTTTTCTCCCTCCAAAACGAGCCGAGATATCACGGCCATTAGACGTATAAAAGCGTCGTCGTATCCCAGCGTAGCCGCTGCATATGGCACACGGTCCCCATAAATACGCAAGAAGCAAGGGGGTTTAAGGCATGCAATCACTTATTGCTTAATGAAGCAAAGTGGCCCGCGTGCCGGCCGTACCCTCCGAGAAGTTTAACCCCTTGTCGCATAATTCTTTTCGAATCTCAGGGCAATCACGGACACTGTTCGACAATGTAAAAGAACATTTTTTTCAATTAAGTCCTTCATTCTTTTTAACGATCTAGTTTAGACGATTATATTTAATCGTCAAGCTCAAATATTTAGCCGCAGTTTGACGTTACAGCTTGTGTACCATTTTCCCAAGTGAACACTTAATCTCAATACTTTCCCATTTTACTTGTGTGAATATTTTTTGAAAGCTACAATTTATCATTTTTGTATTGCGACTTATCGCGAGAACGTTTGGCGAGAAGTTAGAACGTAAATACGAAGGGAGCTCTCTCTCTCTCTCTCTCTCTCACATTTTTCCTAAAGTAGCGGCCGCGCACCCTCCTATCATACTTCAAGAAACTCGCGCCCCAAGTGCCATAAATATACGTACGAGCGCACGGGCCTTTGACCAGCGGTCAAGCACCAACACTTACGGCAATCGCAGAAAAACACGGGCGACTGAAGACCGATGGGCGCGCACGCCACGCTAAATCGTCGGGAGAGGCGAAATGTGCTTTGGAGTATCGCATCGCTGGGAGTGCTCGTTTCTGAAAAGCTGCAAGGCTCGTGATGATATTATCTACAGAACTTGAGGAAGTATCTATGAAGCCTCCACGCGTTTCACATTAATGTGAAAACTCATCGAAATATTTTATTCGATATTAGAAAGGAATAATGCGATGTTATATACCAACCGATAACCAGTCTCATTATCCAGTATTAGAATCATT